ATTAGAAGTAAAACTAAAACATCACAAAATAATAACAATTTATGTAAAATATAATACATTCATTAAATGTTGACATAAATAACATCATTTTAATGAAAAACAACTATACTCCAAAAAAAAAAAAAAACATTTTGGTGAGAGGAGTGGCATTATTTTGTATTTTTACAAATTTTTTAAAAGTCTGGGCCAGGAGCAGTGGCTCACACCTGTAATCCCAGCACTGTGGGAGACTGAGGGAAAAGGATTGCTTGAGCTCAGGAGTTTGAGACCAGCCTGGGATTACAAGCATTAGCCACTGTGCCTGGCCCCACTGTACTTGTACTTTGAATGGATCTTTTACTCATGTGCAATTTTATAACATCAGTCATTTGGAAAACATTGATTCACTGAGTTACGCAGATCTTCCAAATGTTGAAGCATTCTATTCTATTTTTTTTTAATTACAGACATAAAGATGGCAACAATAGACACAAGGGACTACTAGAGGGGGAAGGGAGGGAGAGGGGCAAGGGTTGAACAACTAACAGTTGGGTACTATGCTCAGTACCTGGGTGGCGAGATCATTCCTACCCCAAACCTCAGCATCATGCAACATACCCAGGTAACAAATCTGCACATGTACCTCCTGAATCTAAAAGTTGAAAAAAAGTTACATTTGTTACTATCATCACCAATCTGATCAGAAAAGTCTTTAAGAATTGGGTAGTGCCGGGCGCGATGGCTCATGCCTGTAATCCCAGCACTTTGTGAGGCCAAGGCGGGTGGATCACCTGAGGTCTGGAGTTTGAGACCAGCCTGGCCAACAGAGTAAAATGCTGTCTCTACTAAAAATACAAAAATTAGCTGGGCATGGTGGAGCATGCCTGTAATCCCAGCTACTTGGGAGGCTGAGGCAGGAGAATCGTTTGAACCCTGGAGGTGGAGGTTGCAGTGAGCTGATACCTTGCCACTGTACTCCAGCCTGGGCAACAGAGTGAAACTCTATCTCAAAAAAATAAATAAATAAAAATAAAAAAATAAAAGCATCAGGCAGCACACTCCATGTGCTAGCTCCATTACTTCATCTCCTCCCAGCAACAGGCTTATAGAACAGGTGGTATTGCTTCCCCGACATAGTTTCCTATTGTTGCTGGAACAAATCACAAAATTTACTGGCTTAAATCAACACAAGTTTTTTGATTTAAAGTTCTGTAGCTCAGAAGACTCACGGGGCTAAATCAAGGGGTAAGCAAGGCTATGTTCCTTCTGGAAGCTCTAGGAGAAAATGTTTGCCCTTTTCCAGCTCCTAGAGGCCACCCACATTCCTTGGCTCATGGCACCTCCCTCCATTTTCAAAGTCAGCAGCGTGGTATCTTCAAATCTCTCCCTCTCTCTTTCTGCTTCTATTTTCACATCTCCTTGTGACCTGACTCTCTTGCCCCTCCTTCTTTCTCTCATAAGGACCCTGAGATTACATGGGATCCACCAGTCATGTCATAATTAGATTATTTCCCAGCATAATCCATCTCAATGCCCATAACATTATCACATCTGCAATGTTCCTTTTGCCATGCAAAGTAATATATTCACAGGTTCTGAGGTTGGGGCATGGACATCTTTGAGGGGAGGGGCATTATTCTGCCCATGACACCACCTCCTACAAAAGATTCACAGAAAATTTAGGTAACTTGCCCAGGTTCACACAGCCAGTGAGTGGGGGATTCCAGATTTGAACTTGGGCCTGTCTTGACTCCAGGTTTAGACCACTGTCCCTAGACTCATGGGAGATACCAGGTGTATTAGTCTGTTGTCACACTGCTAATAAGGACATACCCAAACTGGGTAATTTATAAAACAAAGAGGTTTAATTGACTCACAGTTCCACATGGCAGGGGAGGCCTCACAATCATGGCAGAAGGTGAATGAGGAGCAAAGTCACGTCTAATATGGCAGCAAGCAAGAGAGCTTGTGCAGGGGAACTCTCATTTGTAAAACCATTAGAGTCTGGGTGCGGTGGCTCATGCCTGTAATCCCAGCACTTTGGGAGGTTGACATGGGCAGATCACTTGAGGTCAGGAGTTCAAGACCAGCCTGGCCATCATGGTGAAACCCCCATCTCTACTAAAACTACAAAAATTAGCTGGGCGTGGTGTCACATGCCTGTAGTCCCAGCTACCAGAGGCTGAGGCAGGAGAATTACTTGAACCTAGGAGGCGTTGTGGTGAGCTGAGATCCCGCCACTGCACTCCAGCCTGGGTGAGCAAGACTGTCTCAAAAAAACAAAAAACAACCAAACAAAAAAACCATACAGACACACACACAAACATTAGATTTAGTGAGACTTACTCACTACCAAGAGAACAGCATGGGGAAAACTACACCAATGATTCGGTTATCTCCACCTGGCCCCACTCTTGACAAGTGGGGATTATGACAATTCAAGGTGAGATTTGGGTGGGGACACAGCCAAAGTACATCACCAAGGTCTGCTAAGCACTGTAGGCTATAGTGCTTGTTCATATCTTCCTTTTAACATCTATTTCCTTATACTGAAGATACATGTTAATATCTATGTGAATTATTTGAAAATGAAGACTGTGATCTTTTTTATTTTATTTTTATTTACTTATTTATTTATTTTTTTGAGAAGAAGTCTTGCTTTTGTCTCCCAGGCTGGAGTGCAATGGCATGATCTTGGCTCACTGCAACCTTCGCCTCCCAGGTTCAAGCAATTCTCCTGCCTCGGTCCCCCAAGTAGCTGGGATTACAGGTGCCTGCCACCATGCCTGGCTAATTTTTGTATTTTTAGCAGAGACGGGGTTTCACCATGTTGGCCAGGCTGGTCTCGAACTCTTGAGCTCAGGTGATCCACCCGCCTCAGCTTCCCAAAGTGCTGGGACTATAGGCATGAGCCACCACGCCCGGCCTGGGATCTTTTGTTTATTATCACTTTTATTTGTTATTCAAGCAACTGTATGATAAAAATCAGACAAACAACCATATATATATATATATTTTTTTTTTTTTTAAGACAGAATTTCACTCTTGTTGTCCAGGTTGGAGTGCAATGGTACCATCTCGGCTCCCTGCAACCTCTGCCTCCCGGGTTCAAGTGATTCTTCTGCCTCAGCCTCCTGAGTAGCTGGGATTACAAGCACCTGCCACAACGCCTGACTAATTTTTGTAATTTTAGTAGAGACGGGGTTTCACCATGTTGATGAGGCTGCTCTTGAACTCCTGACTTCAGGTGATCCACCCGTCTCAGCCTCCCAAAGTGCTGAGATTACAGGTGTGAGCCACCACCCCCAGCCAGAGAGACAACCATAAATCACCCGTGAGTTTTCACGTCCCCCAGTTTCTATCCATGTGCAGATATCGCTTTTCCATGGTTAAAATCATAGCATAGACACTATATTGTATTGTTTTCCTCAACTGTTATAAAAATTTTCAAACATAGAGAAAAGCTGAAATATATAGCACTACTTAGAGCCTATAATTGTAAACATTTTGCCATATTTGCTGTCTCTCCCTGAATGTTTATGTGTGTATATGATTTTATCTTTTGTTGAACCATTAAACAATAGTTTACAGGCATTATGGCCTTCACTCCTAAATTATTCAGAATGCATCACCTCACAATAAGGACATTCTCTCAAGGAGTGCAGTATCATTATTACACTATAAAATTACCAATAATTCACAAAGACCACCTATATCCAATCCATATTAAAATGTCTTCAATTGTCAACAAATAAACAGTAAAATCAGCTTAAAAGACATATCAGGATCCAAGCAAGATTGATTGGATCAATCACTACATTGGATCACTACAACCCGCCAATTTCTGTATTTTTAGTACAGACAGGGTTTCATCATATTGGCCAGACTGGTCTCCAACTCTTCACTGTGATCCGCCCGCCTTGGCCTCCCAATGTGTGGGATTCCAGGCGTGAGCCACCGCGCCTGGCCCACTTATATGTTTCATGGCATCCCACTTATGAAGAGATCAGGCTCCCTATTTTATGTAACGTGGGAATGGATCTTCCTGTTAATCTCCTCTGCTTAGCATAGGGTCTAGCAAGAGCAGACTCTCTGTAGGTGTTTGTTGAACAAATGAAAGCAATGATAATGGTTATTAGTAACAATCCCAGTAGCCAATTTTTATTGACTGTTCTCTTGGCCAGTGTGCTCACATTAATCTAATTTGAACTTCACAGAAATCTTACGCTTTACGACATATTTGTCTTATTCACAGGTGAGGAGACCAACGCTTAGTGAAGTGAAGTCGCTTGTCTGAAATCACAGCTAGAAAAGGGGCCAAAACCCGAGGGTGGGCCCACTGGCTGGAAAACGGTGCAGTCAGGCAGGGGCGCCTGCTTCTCAATAATGAATGGACCAACGACCCCCAAGGCTGGTTTGCCGTGCACACGCACGCACGTGTGCAACACGTAGCACTTGCTGAGTGCTTGCTACTTGCCAGGCCTCCTGTCAAGCACTTTGCGCGTGCTTTTATGCCCTACGTTTTGTTTCTGTTTTCCTTTTTTCTCCTAATGCCTAGCAAAAGGCGTGGCCCAGGCGCCCAGGCAGGACCTGGGGAGTGAATGAAGAGTGAACGAATGAATGAATGGGCGGCAATGGGATCTTCATAAACCTGACCCTCCTCGGAGATCTAATGCGAACACTGCCGAGGCCCGGGCCCAGGGACGCCGAGGGCGGCTCGTGGGCCCCAGGCCGACCAAAGGCCGCGGCTCCCGAGCTCCGGGGGCCCAGGTGCCAGTAGGTGAGGAGCCGGGGCCCGCCGGCGCCTCGGCGTTGCCACCTCCACCTGCCTGCTGCCTCCCCTTCCGGCTTCGCAGGCGGGACCCGGCGGGCTCTTAGAATGCAGCCGCCCGGCATCTTCCGCCCGAGGGTCGCGGGGCTCAGAGTCCGGCCGGTTCCAGGCAGGGCAGGGAAGGTCCGCGGCCCGGCAGACGCACGCCCACCTGTCGGCCGCGCAGGCGCAGCAGCACGCCGGCCTCCCCGCGCCCCGCGGCGCGCGGCCAGTGCGCAGGCGCGGCGGCCGATGCGAGTGTGTATGTGCGGGCGAGAAGATGGCGGCGGCGGGGGAAGCAGCGTGAGCAGCCGGAGGAACGCCGAGTCCCATTGAAACGGGCAGCCATGGCCCTCCACAGCCCGCAGGTAGCCGCCGGTCCGCGCCTTCGGCCGGAAGGGGCCCGAGCCCGGGGCGGGCGGACGCCGCAGCGGGCGGGCGCCCGCGCCCTGCCCGGAGCGAGCGTGTGGGAGTGGGGGAGGGCGCCGGGACACGCTGCCCGGGCCTAGGCCGGAGCCACCCGCCGCCTCCGCGCCCGTCGCGCCTTCGTCCCCCTGAGCCACCCAGGCCCCCTAGTCCCGGAGAGGCCGAGGGACGGGGGCTCCGGTCACCGCCTGGGGAGGGCGTGGGGGGCGCCGAAGGGGTTAACCTCCCTGGGGCTGGACCGCGGGGCGAGCCCGAGGTGTGGAGTGGGGCCCTCCCCGCCGCGCCGGCCCGGGGAGGCGGCCCGGGGGCTCCGGGAGTCCCCTGGAGCGACAGGAGCCCCAGAGCAGCTCAGGTTGCTGCCTCTACCCAGAGCGAGCCTCAAAGATTTAGGGGTGCCCTGTTGCCCCTTTGCCCCCAAAGCTTCCTTTTTCAGCTTGATTGATGACGCGGGGGCTGCTGATTTTCTGGTTTTTAGATAGAAGTCGCTGAGTAGCGGCGTTAGGCTACTGTTGCAAAGAAAACTCGAAATAAGTCGCAAGGACCGTACTTTCACTTGCATTTGAGTGACATCCCTTGCACGAATCCATCCCAGCCAGGCTGACACTAACGCACCCTGCCTGAACAGTATCTTAAAGCTTAGGGGCCCTTTACAATAATCCCGTAGTGGAAAGAAAGAGCTCTTTTTGGGAGATGTGTGTGTAGAGTTAAGCTCTTATTCACCTCTCCCACCCCTTCTCCCACCCCATGTCCCCCCTCCGCCATTGTAATTATTCTGGACAAAAATCGGCGTGATGTTATTATTTGTCAGTCTTGCTTTAGACTGCTAATTTGTTGACATCTGGTCCCTATAAATTGTTGCACACTTTTTAACCATCTCATTGTGTATTTGTATTAAATATGGGGAAATGAAACAAAGTAGCCATTCGGAAAACTGGTGGCGGGTAAAATCATAACCCTTCATAAGCAGTTGGGTTTTGTTGCCGTTCTGCAGATGAAGTCAATCTGACTAGACCTCTTTTGAAACATGATTTTCGTAACTATTGTAATGAATGCGTGTTGTGGAATCTAAAATGCGAAAACTTTTTTTAAAAATCAGATGTTACGACAAGCTTCAATTGTGTTAAGTTAGCTGTAGTTTAGTTTGCATCAGAACTTCCCCCTTTAACGTTTTGTTCCTTTGTACATTTACTTTTGTAAGTAGTGTAAGTCTTTGCACGAAAGAAGGCATCAGCAGTTGAATAGTTTTTACAAATGTATAACACAAAGATTTTAAGAGATTTGGTGTATTTAGCTTTGTTTAGACCTTTGTATTTTAAACAAAAAAAGATTTGATACTTGCTTTTCCTCAACTTAAATACTAATTAGCGTATTTAAATTGGTATGAACAAGTATAAGTCTCATTATGAATTAATGTGTGATATTCCTTGTGATTTTGACATGAAGAAAGCATCTTTAGGCATAACTCACTTCCTTTATTTAATAAGCATCAATCACAATTAAAGGTTGATTGAAATGTTAATTAATGGGGATGGATAATATGTAAACTTAATTGTAAATTCGTTGTCCCAGTATTTACATTTTATACAACAGTCTAAAGCGTCGTTATATACATCTTTAGAAAATTGGAGTAGCAAAAGTTGGCGAACAGAAATGTTAGCAACACTTTGGGTTTATTCTTTTAAAGTATGATTTAAATGCTTTTAAGTTCTAGCATGGAGAAAGTAGCAAAGGAAATAGTTTGATTTCTCATAATTTTCTTTTCTTTTTTTTTTTTGAGATGGAATTTTGCTCTTGTTGCCTAGGCTGGAGTGCAGTGGCGCCATCTTGGCCCACTGCAACCTCTGCCTCCGAGGTTCAAGCGATTCTTCTGCCTCAGCCTACCAAGTAGCTGGGGTTACAGGCGCCCGCCACCACGCCGGGCTAATTTTTTGTATTTTTATTAGAGACGCGTTTCACCGTGTTGATCAGGCTGGTCTCAAACTCCTGACCTCAGGTGATCCACCCGCCTCGGCCTCCCGAAGTGCTAGGATTATAGGTGTGAGCCACTGCCCCTGGCCGATTTCTAATAATTTTCAATAAAAAAAATAGTAATGGAAACAAGTGATGGAATCATGTATGACAGGATTTAGTTACTGGTTCCTGCTCGAGTCATTCTGAGCGTTTTAATAAATTTGTTTTATTTGTTTGCCTACTGTTCTGAGAGTCTTGCAGCCTTAATGGCCGTTCATTCATTCAGCAAATACTGATTGTTTATCAGGTGTTAAGCGCCATGATATGCATATTACTTGTTTCTGTTGGGAATAACAACTGCAAATTAAAGGTCTTATTTTAAATTTGACTTGTCCGGGGCGGGCCGCGGTGGCTCACACCTGTAATTCCAGCACTTTGGGAGGCTGAGGCGGGTGGATCACCTGAGTCTGAGCTGGAGACCAGCCTGACCAACATGGAGAAATCCCGTCTCTACTAAAAATCAAAATTAGTGGGGCGTGGTGGCATGTGCCTATAATCCCAGCTACTCGGAGGCTGAGGGAGGAGAATCGCTTGAACCCGGAAGGTGGAGGTTGCAGTGAGCTGAGATCGCGCCATTGCACTGCAGCTTGGGCAACAAGAGCAAAACTCTGCCTCAAAAAAAAAAAAATTGACTTGTTAAAGTTAAATTTGTCACTGAGAATAATGGTACGTGGAAAAAGTTACAATTTAAAAATGTTTACAGGTCAGCGCCGTGGCTCGTGCGTGTAATCCCAGCACTTTGGGAGGCCCAGGCGGGTGGATCACTTGAGGTCGGGAGTTTGAGACCAGTCTGACCAACATGGTGAAACCCCGTCTCTATGAAAAATACAAAAATTAGCCGAGTGTGGTGAAGCTCGCCTATAGTCCCAGCTACTTGGGAAGCTGGGGCAGGAGAATCACTTGAACCCAGGTGGCGGAAGTTGCAGTGAGCCGAGATCATGCCGCTGCACTCCAACCTGGGTGACAGAGCAACTCTGTCTCAAAAAAAAAAAAAAAGCATGAAACTCCAACTCAAAATAAATAATAAATTAAAAAGTTTTTAGGTTCATAACCCTATTTCCAATTATTAGAAGGTGTTGGTTGATCCCTGTTACCTGTATTGAAGTGTAATAGTGAAGAATTTGGAAACATTTTGAGACCAGTGACTGTCAACATTTTAGCAAATACAAATGAACTTCAGCAGTTGAAGTGTAAGTCCAAGTGAACTCTTTGTCTCCAAGGGCACCAATTAAATGATTTGCGGTAATTAATTTGAAGCTGTTAGTTTTGCCTTACACCTGAAAAAAATTTGTGATTATTGATGTCATTTATGGTGAAATCTCCACAATAATGCTTCCTACACCCAATTCGAATGTCATACAGTTGGGTTCTGTCCTTGTCTGCGTAGACTCACCCCGGTCTCTTTTTTTTTTTTTTGCTTTTTGATAACAGGGCCCCCAAATTTTACATGATGGAAACTCTTGGTTTCCACCTCTAGCGTATGGCTGAATGTTACTGTATTGCTGAATATCTGTTTCTAGCTGACAGCTGGATTAGTGTTAGTTCTTGAAAGAGATAGATTTTTATTAGAGTCTCACGTAATGAGCTGCTGAAGTAAATACAATTATTTGAAATGTTGACAGAGCATTTGGAGATAACAGTTTTCCTTTTCTTAGTGACAGCAAGCTATTTAAACATGTCCTAAGAGTAGATGTTTTAAGTTTGTGAGCCAGTGGTCGCCTGAATGGTTTGTACAGATGATCTGAGCAGCTGCCCTGTACCAGGACCTCACCTTCATGCTCTTGAGCCCATCTCGTTGAGAGGGCAGTGCACTGAAATTCCGGTGAATACTAAGCGGGCCTACCACATTCTAAATTCCTCACTAAAGCAAAAGTTAGGACATGTATTCTAGTGTTCTGTTACATGGAACTGATAGGATTTAAGCAGTGATTCACATAGGAAAACTTAAAGGAGAAAAGGATTACCAAGCTTAATGATTGCTGTTTAATGCCAAGCCTAAGCGGCACATTCATTGCGCTGTGCTCAGAATATAACATTCAAGTAATTGAGAAAAGTGGTATCATCTCCAGTTGAATTAGTTACATCAGGGTTTTTGTTTCTGTTTTTTTGTTTGTTTGTTTTTAAAGATATAATTTCAGACATGTCGGTACTTCCTGTTAATGGTTGCTGGTATTCAAGTGACACATTAAACGCGGTTGCTGAGGGCACTTCTTACGGATGATATACCAAAATATGAAACATAGTGGGAAGAGCTTGCTTTTGAATTTGTAATTAGGCTGTTACTTATCTATTTACTGCCACACATGCAAGAATAACCATCGCACAAAACAGATAAATCTGTTTGCAATGGAATTTGCTGGCCTTGGGCCATTGGATTACTGTCATTTGTCACTTTAGTGCCACTTCAGCAGTGTAGATGTTCATTTCCAAAGACTTACATGTGCTTGGACTGCAGTTTTCCTGTTTATTGAAGTGTTCTCCCAAAAGGTCTTTCTGTGACCATTTCTGTCAATACAGGCTGGATGAAGAGTTAGTGTAGGAAAATAAAGGTAGCCCATGGGATTTGTGTATAGTATTTGTTTCAAGGACCAGAAAATGTAGAATTTATCGTAAACCTTGATGTAGAATCTTCAGATCGTAGACTTTTTCTGAACTGGCTATTTTCTGGCTATTTGAAAGCTCCTGGGCCATGATCCCATTTTCATCAGATGACTTGAGAATCCGGAAGCTCTACCAGCACTGCCATTCTGCCCTGTCTTGAAACATCATGCCCTGGTTGCCCTCTCCTGGAATAGGGCGGGTGAGGTGTTGAGATAGAACTGTGGTTTGGGGCTATTAAAGCCTGAATTCCTCGACTTTCCCTTTTGGGCTCACATGAAAATTGTTAGGAGAGTGTACATGTGGAGTACGGGCCCAGCACCTGCCACCGTCT